GTGTGGGTTCCGGCTCACTTACAGGTAGCAGACAACATCATCGCTGACTACCATGCCTGAGAAATATTAACCTGGGCCGAGCAAGAACCGCAAGAGCTACTGCACCCGGGTACCGGCCTTCAGGACATTACCCGGTTACACCAAGAGGAATGGTGCAAACTGCCAGAACCGCAGCCCAAACTGGCCAGGCAACAGCAGACGATCCCACATTGAGCGCAGGCAGGATCGCTTAAGCATCGAGTCTTATTTACTAATCTCGTTCCCTTCCTCACATCAAACCCTTTAATTTACTTCATTTCGGCATGGGTTTTGCAAGAACTACTCATGCGAAACAACACTAATATTTTTTAACCATAACATTTCCTCTACTTTTGACAAAGGCCGTATTCACTGTATTTTTTAAAATTTTGCTAATGCTTCTGACAAGGTGTCTCATCGCTTACTACTTCTCCAACTTAGTATTCTTAACATTGACCCTAGCATCTTGAACTGGATAACCATACTCAATTTGCAACTTGATGCTGCATCCCTTGTTGTGATGTAAAGTCGGGCATCCCTCAAGGCTCTGTCCATGGCTCATTGTTATTTTTAATTTACATTAATGACTTACCTACAGTAATTAATAGTCCCACTAAACTATTTGCTGATGACTGTGTTTATGAAATCACTAATCAGCATAATAACTCTATTCTTCAATCTGACTTGGATAACATAAAGCAACTGCTCGCAACGGCTTATGTTCTTAAATCCCACTATAAATGCTAAATCATGCATTTATTGCATCGCCCTGACTCGACAAAATCTTCCGGCTATGCCATCAATGACATCAACCTCGAGTAGGTAACATGATATAAATACCTCAGAATTCCGATGGAGGCGTAAATGTTGTAGGCCCGTGTGCTCAGATTTGGGCGCACGTTAAAGAACCCCAGGTGGTCGAAATTTCCGGAGCCCTCCACTACGGCGTCTCTCATAATCATATGGTGGTTTTGGGACGTTAAACCCCACATATCTATCAATTAAATACCTCAGAATTCATATTGCCAATAACCTTTCTTAGCATGTACACATTGAATACATCACTAACAATGCTAACAGATCTCTCTGCAGTGGCGTACCAATTCTTTCGTGAGTGGGCGGGCAAGCCTACCTCACTCGTCACCCGGGATATATATATATACGGGAACTTGTACTATTCCACTTAGATCTTCCGAAACCAGCGAAACTGAGTTATATGAGTTATACTGACATGAGCTTCCAAACTTCGTTGCTGCCACGGAGGAAGGAAAGGTATGAACCGTATGTGGATGTAGACAGACAGTTGGCTTCGTTCTCAATGTTGACAGTGGTTCTTCCTCTTTTTTACTTTCTTTTCTTTCTTTTTTTTCGTCTTTTTTCTTCCCCCTTTTTTTTCTTTTTCTAGTTCTCTCTCACTCTCGCAAACGTCTTTCAAGGCTAGAGGGACGCGGCAGCAACGAATTTTGGAAGCTCATGTCAGTATAACTCATCCCCTGATGAAGGGGGGACCCCTCCCGAAACTGTTGAGAAATAAATATATTTATCCTTGTTGACAACGCTCCCGTTGTGCCATATCCCATACCTTCACGAAGACTAACTGGCTCATTGAATTATTACTTCCACTATATATATATATATATATATATATATATATATATATATATATATATATATATATATATATATATATATATATAAATAAGTGGAATATAAATATATTGATTTCCCAACAGTTTCGGGAGGGGTCCTCCCTTCATTAAGGGATGAGTTATACCACGTTATAGCGCGAGAACAAAACGACGACACAGAGATAAGAAGGACACGAAAGACGCGAGCGCTACATGTCTTTCGTGTCCTTCTTGTCTCTGTGTCGTCGTTTTGTTCTCGCACTATAACTATCGTCATGCCATACCAACCAGCCCAAGCTGCCACACTTCTAAGTTAGTGAGGGACTTTACGGTAGACCTTTCGTTCTCACCACGTAAACGTCCCCAAAAAATGTCCAACACGGCGATTCTGCCGCCGTCTATTTATACATTTTAAGCCAAATCAAGCCGGTTTTAAGCGGCTATTGGTTGAACCGAGCGTTTGGTCCTCAAAAGTACAGGTTCGTGCCATCCGTTGGCAGCAGTTGACTTGTGCCCGGAAAGCGGGGCCGCGTCTGCTGCCACGCGACTGCTGCCGCGTCTGCTGGACACAAGTCAACTCGACTTGTGTCCGATATCTAGCGTCGAGTTTCTTCTATAAACAGCTGATGGCCGAACGTCATGCCGTCATAAACACACATGACAATAGTACTGCACGACTTAGATTGTCAGACGAGAAGCGGTTCTGAATGCCTGACGAATGATGCAGTACGTATACGTACTACTAAAGCCCCTAGATCTAGAAAGTAGCGACACTCTCCTCCGCGCGCGCGTTTTCCTCCTCAATTCTCCTCGGATTTCTCTCCTCTCCCGGCCGGCGCGGTGCGCACGGCACGCTGAACCCTCCACTGGCTCGCTGCAGCCGCATTAGATTCAATGCGCGCGCTTGTTTAATCGGCTCCTTGAAGCATTATACGAGAATATGTCCCTTAAGAAAGAGTCGTGACGAAAGTAGGCTTCCCATAGAACATTATGGCAGACATATTTTTTAAGACGATTCGATAAATACGAGCGGAAGCGCTTCGAAAAAATGAGCATACCAGCTGGCGGCTTAGCGGTTTACCTCTCCGTCGCCGCTTCGGCTGTCTGTAACGCGGATGTGTATTAAGCGCATGTAATGTAGGCAGCACATTGTATGGACGAGAACTTGATAAGTGCTGCAGTGTCGCTTTGTAAAATTCATGTTGTGTTGGCGAAAAGCAAGCATAGAAGTCACCGTGCGTGCCTGGCTTCCGTCACGATGAAACGACGAGATATTGCATTCCATTAACTTTGGGACTTACCTCAGTCTGTTAAAAAAAAAAGCAAAACCCACCGCTCAGATGGAAGCTTCTAAGACTATGTTACGCTATAATTAACTCACAGAATTCAGGATGTAAAGTTTATCAGAAGAGAGCCATTACGAAAAGCGCGTACGTGGCTCTTTCTTTATATGAGCATACACGCACAATACATACATATACCAGATACGTAACTTTGCTTCCGTGCGTATGGCTATTTACTTTACGGCTGCTGCCAAGATATCATTGAGCGGTTGTTAATTGACTTATTAAGACGAAAGCCTTAGCTGCCTCATCAAACGCGGAACACACACACACACACGCACCGGCGCAAATACATAGACAAACGCACGCACACACGTCCGCACAAGCACATACACACGCGCGAATACAGACGTACAGAAACGCGCGAACACACAGGCGCACACATACACACACACATAAGCGCACATATGCAGTCGCATACATACACACACGCATACACGCAGGCGCACACATGCACACACATAAACGCACACCCGCACGCGCACACACACACACACATGCGTAGGAATTACACACGTTAATTTACAAATTACACACATTAAGAAAACTAACGCACGCGCTAAAACACAAGAAAACTATCTCAGGGCACAGAGAATTACAAAAAAAGCTCAGCGACTCATTCAGACCCAGCTATATCCATATTTATATGTGCTCGCTATTAAACTGAACGAAGAGTCCAGCGATGCAAAGAGCATTAAAATCTTCGTACGACTTTATCTAGAGATTTAACGAAATCGGTAACACTAACCTCGCAAAGAACGACGTGTTTAGAAGGGGCGAAGTCCTTTCTCCCGATGTTGTGGATCCACTGCTTTCTGCGCACGGCATTCCTATTCCTATCTCCTCGGGGGATATAAAATAATCTTACTCCTTTCTCTGACCTGCTGCTGCACTGGTACGCGCAACAGCCAGGCATTGCCACGAAAAACGAAGCTCACGATTCTACGCAAAAAAAAAAAAAAAAAAAAAAAACCACACACTCAGAGCGGCAGGACTGGCGTGGCGCCTGGAGGGTTCATGGCGTGCGTGATTGACGAAAAGCGCGCGAAGTTTGCTTGCGCGCGCTTTTCGTGACGTCAGGGTCATCTGACTGGGCGGTATCGCCCGCCGCAGCCATTCAGCGCTTGGGATGCGCGGGCTCCGCGAAAGAGGGGGTGAAAAAAGAGGAGGTTGCCGGCGCGCCGAGAGAGTGCCGGCGTGGATAAAGGAGCGTCGCTACTTTCCAACATCTAGGGGCTTTACGTACTACTGGCAAGCAACGCCTCCTAGATTTCCCGTGCCTGCCGGATGAGCGCGAAACACCAGTCATCTATGGCGGCGCTGCCTACGTGAGGGTAAGGGTCTTTGTACTCGGCCTTTAAGATCGGCAATTTTGGTGTTTGTTACTCATTTCAGAAAATGCATTGTAATTAAAAAAAGTTGCTTTTTTAGTGGCGTCGTCACTTACGTAGGGTTATTTATAATTACGTTTACGCCTTTTAAAAACTTTTTACGTTATTTTTGTTGCATATGAACTCCAAAAACGTAAAAACCTATTTGAAGACACTTCTACTTGAGTGGCGCCATGCCATCACCATAGTTCCGGACGACCGCCGCTTCCCAAGTGACCGCCGCCGATAATCCGGCAGGCACAAAAAAACTAGGAGGCGTTGTCAGGGGCAACGTGGGGGGGGGGGGGGGGGTGAATGTTGGTGAAGGGTCGTGTGGAAAGCGCGCCTGCATCGAAAGTGGTCTTCGAACGCTCAAAACCAAGTTCGTGCATGTTGTTCGTGTGCCAAGCTGACGACCACGCTACAACGATACTTTCACACTGCAGCGTCGTGCTCTGCTAGAGCCTGTGCGGTATGTCAGCGGTTGTTCGACGCCGATATCTAGCGTCGAGTGGTTTGCTTCTCTCTTCGTTCCGCTGTCAGCGAAAGTCGCTGTTGGTGTAGCGAGTTCTTCGTGGCGACACCTTGCACCTTGGCGGCGGGGCACCCCCTTTTCGCAGCGACTGATGATGGAGTGAATTCAGATTCGTGGGTTCGAAGGATGCGCGGGAAAGAGGAACGCGCGCGATTCCGATAAGAGCATTTGTCGCCGCCGCGTCTGTGCGTTGGTGATAGCGTCACCGGGATTGCCCCCAAGTTACGAAAGAGGAACTGTTCGCGTTTTTCGCTTCCGGTGCTCGACCGTGGTGCGTCTCGGGAAAAAAAACAAAAACAAACTACGCGCGAGAGACTTAGTCTTGCCAAGAGTAACAGTAGATGCCGTTAGAAAAACAATACTAAAAATGTCGTCAGTGGCCTCACCGAATGCGTGCCGTTCAGCACGAGTGATGAATCGTGGGTTTTTCCTGCGCCGGCGTTATCTCTGGCGAAACGCCGTGCAACTGCTATGGTCGCGTTTTTACAAAATGAAGCGGCTGCCCCAAGTTTAGTTTTATTCGTAGAAGAGGCAACGCTTCCCAGCAGGTTGCATATTCTGAAAACGGACAGCTGTCTCGAGGTGGGTGTTACGAGAAACACATGCTTGCCATAGCTGATACTCCAAGTTTGCCTTGACCCTTCCAACGTGCTTATTTATTGGCATCTTTTTTTTTCTTGTCTTCTGAATAAGTGGAGACCTGACATTAGAAGTTCAGTTGTTGCACATCAGCTATGTGTCCATATTTTGTTGACGTAGCAGGTATGTGTGTCGTTTCTGTCAGGTGTTATTCTTCGTGAATGAGCGAAATACGTCATGTTCTGTTTGGTTCTCACGTACCCTTTCTAGCATATTTTGCGTCCGTTGTTATCAGTGCCAGCTGTGAGCGAGTGTGCTTGCCAGACTGTCGGTTGCCCATTTTGACGTGCCAAGCGAGGTGAAATTACGTTTTAGAAATAACCTTCTTCTTTTACACCGCTGTCAAGTGAAAAACTTCGCTAACCACATGAGTGCCTGTTGGTGATATGTTCATTGTGTAAGCAGTGACAAAATACGCACTATGTTTCAAGCAGCTTGCCTTTCCAAATCAATGACTTACCTATATTTATTTACCTCTTTTGTAGTTTTTTTGTTCGATATGCTCATCAGTAGCTATGGCTAGGAGCCTCTGTGTCCTATATAAATGTTATCAGTTTCAAAACTTCACACGAACTGATATCTACATAATCGCTTGAGATCATAGCCTCCTTTTTGAGATGCAGCTTAATTACAGTGGTGCCTCTGTCAAAATAGAAGTGCAGTGGCCCTATCGTAGACAAATGCTTTGTGCTAAAACCAGAAACTAACTAGTAAAGGTACACATGCAAACACAGATCATGACAACACTAATGTGGCACTTGTGGTGTCGTTTGTGTTAGCGTGCCCGCCTTTCTTTTTTTTCACGATGGATCCTCACTCATTTTAGGGGGGGTGGTAGCATTAAGTAACATTGGAGAGGGGGTGGTGGTCATGACTTTTTACTAGCAGGAAAACCCCTTCATGTCATGAATACTGTGTCATAAATGTGTGCTCACAGCAGTTTCACTCATTTGTCTAAATTGGTGATAGGAGGTGAACTATCACCAATTTTGAAGAGGGGGCTGGCACAGATTTTAGAGGGGCCAATCGGCCTTTCCGCAGCGCCGGCGCGATCGGCTACTGACGTTACTTTTCTGTCATTTCCTGTGCTGTAGTAAAAAAAAAAAGCTGCTACAAAAATCTTACAAGAGTCCCTTCACCTGAAGTTGGAAGAAAACTGAAGCAGATCTATGCTGACATCCTTTAAGAGGCAACCAAGACTCCTCCGACACCTCATCTGGTGGAATGGCTCTGTCTCAGGATTTTATAGGCTTCCCAAGCTCCACAATCCCGACAATCGGTTCCATCGACTTAGGGCTTTTACAACCTTTCCACTTCGGACATTGGCCAGCTATCTCCTCCAGCCTACCTGTCCGGTTTTAGACCAGCTCTACTGGGTTTTTAAGCAGAGGGCTGGTTGCCGGTCTGCATCTGTGGTCATTGGCCTGTTTTTTTTTTTTTCAGAGCAGTAAATGAAGCGTCATTGTAATCATGGGTATATTTATGCCAGCAATTAGATGAGTAGTTTAGCCCAGTGTGCCATTTTTGTTTGTGCCACTGTTTTATTTGGCTCAAGGAAAGCAATGTTACATTAAATGGCACTGCTACTGCATGCCATAGACCTGGCATGGCGTCTATTGTTCAAGCAATAATTTAACCTCATGGCAGCTCATTTCCCCCTCTCTCGTCAAAGGGCCATTTTTTTGTTCGAGAAAAGGTGGCAACGCTAAACCCACATACACAGTGCCAGCCACTTTGTTAAAGTAAGTGAGTATACTGTAGTAGAACTCGCTGTTGGGCTAGTTGGTGCATGTCTGAATTGGTCAACTTCGTGCCAAAACCACAGAGAAGAATCAGTCTGTGTTTTCTTCTTCTGTGTGGTTGTGATTTTGGCACAAAGTTTTAATTCAGTGAGTGAGTGGCGACATGTCCATCATCTCTTTTGACATTGTGTGTCTGTTCAGTCATACTTGCGGTGTCCAGAGCATGAGCCATCTTGTACAAAGACAAACTCTGGGGCATAAGGAGCACCGATACAAAATTTTGCAGGGGAGATAACTTGTAGGATAGATTCTTGTGGGGGGGGGAAAGTGCATCATCTATGAAATATGAAATATCAATGGCTAACATAGCTTAGACCATATGTAAAACAGATTTTCAAGCGTGCGGCAACTGTTTGTGAAACGCACCATCTCATGACATGCACACCAAGTTGTTTTGAATGCAAACAGCCACCTGCATCGCCAGTCTTTATTTGCCTCGATCCTCGTGAATGCTCTCTCCTAGCAGACCTTTTTGATGAAGATGAGGGTCCTTTATGGTCTTTCATCAGGGTACAAAAGCATCCTTGCATTGGCAGCGCACTCCTGGGGGTCGAGTGTGTTCAATACAATCCAGGAGAAGCACTCTAGGAGCCTCTGTTGAAATGAGTTGTCAGCGTAGTGCTCTTATGCATACTTCGAAAACCAACTCTGGGGTCACTGAGATGAGCAAAAAATAGAAGTACAAAAGGAAGACACCTGTTCCCAGTACACAGGTGTGCACTGTGTCTCCAGGTGTCTTCCTTTTGTACTTATATTTTTCGCGCACCGGGCCCAGTCAAGGTGAATTACCAACTCGCTCAGCAGTCCGTGCTTCTCATGGGTTTACTAGTCAGTAATGTTATTAACGAAAGTGATGTCATCAACCTTGATCATTTAATTTGAATCGGCTGGAGGATAAGGTTTTTTTTTCCACACATTACTGCAATAATGTCGGTCAGCTTCGAAACTTTCATCAACGTGGAAGGTATTGTCTACAGTGACCAGCCATTACTGCTTGCTCGTGAAACTTTTATCGTGAAAAGAAATGGACTCTAAGAATGGATGGCTGGACTGTGGTTAACTCTGAAGTAAACTTAAGATTAAAAAGCTAGTGGACGTTCAAGCCAAGGAAACTATAGGGGATGCTATTTTTAGTAATTGTGATTTAAACGTGAAGTTATGCCCCTGTCACATGGGCACCTGCGAAAACCATTTAATTCTCTCATCCTTACAACGAAGATGCGGTCCGTGTCACACGGTCACCCTTACGCAAACGAAGAAAAATGGAGCATTTCGCAAAGGACGTTCAACGATCTCCCTTCGCAGCGAAACGAGGTACTCTCGTCCCCAGCAGTCTAGAGGTCGGAGAAAAATTTTGAGCACTGAGTGGCCGCAGTGAAAGAATAATACATTTTGGCAATATTAAACGTTGTTTTGTTGTAGTACTCATTCAAAACGCGTGTTTGTTTACATATATTTACGCCCGCCAGAGTTCTCTTACTCTCAACACCGATGCCCTACACACCGTGCCTCGCGAGTCGGGCGGCCAGCACCAGCTGATCAACGTCATTACCAGCGCAATATCGTACCATTTCCTCACGTTGTCTGCTTTGTCACTCATGCCCGGTACTTTTCTACCGGCCATGTACACAGGCAACAACACAACTAAAAGCACAATGTGGCCAGCGTCACTAGCAGCATCGCTACATTTAGCAAATGCGTTTTTATTTGAAATTATTTTTAATGGTTTTTTAGTTACATACCTACTTAATAGTGCTTTTTTGTAAAAACTGCATGAGGATTCACAAAAAAATGAATAGGGATGAAATTAGAATACTTTTCCGAAAATCAAACAGCTCCAGCTGAGCCCCCTCGCGGCAACTGTTACAACCTTCTCATTGCCGTGTGACACTGCCACAACTCCTTCTTTGTTGAACCTTCTAGGGGAGATTTACGTTGACGGTGGTCAACGGAGTTCGGTGGTGGCCGTGTGACAGGGGTATTAAAGTGGATGAAAATATTACGTGCCACTCGCAGGTACCGAACCTGCAACTTTTGAATAGGTCGGACTGCGCTCTACTGTGGCGGTCTTCTTCTGGTCCTCTTCTCTTACACTTCATCAGGTGCATTTAAACCTGGGAGTGTTAATTAGCATCACTCATAGCCCTGATGGGGAGAGTGGAACACTTCGTCTGCCTACTGACGTCACAGAGCACGTGATGTATTTACAAGCTGCCAGCGGACTAATAATCTTTTGCATGTATAATACTAATAATCTACATGTTACTAATACTAATAATCTACATGCACTAATAATCTTTTGCTTTTACATGTTCACCATGATCTTTATTATCACAAGCTTTCTTCATTCATTTCACTGCGGCCACTCAGTGCTCAAAATTAACACCACACAATTTTCACGGCATGGTCATAATTTTATTACTTTTATGTTTTTACCCTCTTTAGAGCGAGGAATTTAAAGGCCCTTATACAGCCGCTAATCGCAATCATTGTTCACATTTCTTGTCCCATGAACTGGCGCTCTTTGGCCATCAAATGGCCTTAGGGCAAGGAAATTAAAGGCCCTTATACAGCCGCTAATCACAATGTTCACATTTCTTGTCCCATGAACTGACGCTCTCTGGCCACAAAGCACCAAACAGCGTCATCATCATCAATGACAAGGAGAGCGGGCATCAATTTTTTGGCCTGTGTGCTGATTACTGACAAAATGATAGAATTTGCCCTTCAGCCCGCTGAACCACTTACCGAGACTGACGTCAAGCTTAAGGCGCTGCTGAATGAATGAAAATTGAAGCGATACTTGCATAGACCTCTTGTTTTGGGATGCTTTACCAAAGACAACAATACAAAAATACACACCGATGCAAGCAATGTAGAACTTGGTGTTGTACTTGTACAACAGACGGAAGGGCATAAAAGGGTGTTGATTGATTTGATTGATATGTGGAGTTTAACGTCCCAAAAACCACCATATGATTATGAGAGACGCCGTAGTCCACTGGAGGGCTCCGGAAATTTCGACCACCTGGGGTTCTTTAACGTGCACCCAAATCTGAGCACACGGACCTACAACATTTCTGCCTCCATCGGAAATGCAGCCGCCGCAGCCGGGATTTGAACCCGCGACCTGCGGGTCAG